GAGGAGGACGCAGCGCCGGATGGCGATACGGGCCACGCGTGCGTACCGTACGGTGTCGCACGCGGCGGCCACCCTGCTCGCCGGAATGATCCCGGTGGATCTTTTGGCGGGCTCATTCAAGCGGGCCTATGAAAGGATTGCGGGCCTGAAGGCCCAGGGAGTCCGGATCACCGGACGAGTAAAGAGGGCGATCCACGCCGAGGCGAAGGACGGGGCCCGAGAGGCCTGGAAGAGGAGGTTGGCCGACCCCAACTGCCCAGGCCAGCGCACGGTACGGGCGGTCCTCCCGGTCGTGGAGGAGTGGCTGCGCAGGCCATGGGCGAGGGCGTCCTATAGGACGACGCAGGTGCTCACCGGGCATGGCTGCTTTGGTGTGTACCTGCGTCGGATAGGTAAAGAGGTGGCAGCAAACTGCCACCACTGCGAGGAAGAAGTCGACGATGCTCAGCACACGCTGGAGATGTGTCCGGCGTGGGCTGAGCAGCGTAATGCACTGAGAGGGGTTGTGGGTGACGACCTCTCTCTAGAGGCGATTGTGGAGAGGGTAGCCCACGATGAGGAAGCGTGGAGCGCCTTCTCTGCATTCTGCGAGGGGGTCTTACTCCGCAAGGAAGAAGCGGAGCGCATCCGGAGGGGGGAGGTAAACCCCCAGGATGACCAGGGCGGGGCTGGCGTACGTGGGAGGAGAAGAAGAAGAGGAAGGCCAGCCCACCTTCGAAGATAGTAGTCCTGGGCGAGGGGGGCGGGGTTCGTGGGACGACTGTCGCCGCCCGTAAGGACGGGGACAGTGCGCCTGCTTCCTTTCCCCCTCCTCCAGGACTATGATACGGTGAGGAGTTGCTCCCCGAATGAAAAGGGGGGCAATCGACCGCTCGGCCGATCATGAGGGGTGATCCCTCACATGGCGTCCGGGGCCCGCCGACGAATAGGCCCGGGGTATCCCCTGCCTGTCGTAAGAGGCGACTAGAAGGGGAAGATTCTGGGATGATGAGGGATCCCAGGGGGTGGGTCGGGAGCTGAGGACTCCCGGCCCACCAGCCCCCACTAACAACAAGGGGGCGCGGCAGGGGCCCGGTGGCACCCCTGCCGCGGCGCAACCATAGCGCAGTAGGAGAATGCCCAACCAGGGCAGGGTCCGAGCTACTTGGACAGAGAGGAGCGCGCGAGTTACAGCGCGCGGCGCCGAGCCGACCGGCAGCACATGCGACAGCAGTCCCCGGTCGGCTCAACATGGCGCGGAGAAGACCACCCCCGGTGGGTTTAGTGCGGTAGGCGTCTCCGTTGCACTACTGGCTCTGGGCTATCTTCCCAGGTGCCAGGGAGACGAGTCCCACACACCCCCCCGTCCCGTCCCAGCGGGGCGGGGGGACGGTCCATGAGGATTCCCCCGGGTTACCAAAAAAAAAAAAAAAAAAGTCTCTTTTGTCCGCTCGCTCACATCGGACGTTTTCGCCACGATATCTGTAGAGTGTAACCTTACGTTAATTGAACGTTAATTGATTGCTGGATAAAGCATATTAATGTTTGTCTATTATTTGGGGTAAGACCACGTAAACATTAACAGATATGACTCGACAGCAGGTTGTCTCAATCATGGATAAAACTTCAATGACCTAAATATACTTTTGATGATTTAATAATTTAACACAATTTAAAAATTAGTTTTAAAAAATTAAGATTTTTTAATAGGTAACCTGCTGATGTTTTACTACCCCCCTATTACCCAAATAGCACAAGGACGTCCAGGACGGACTTGTGCTATTTGCGACATCTTTTTAGAATAAAAATAGTTTTAATTTAGAAACAATAATGTTAAAACATGCAATGGGACGTAACAGAGACGTTCTTGCGATATCTTTTTAGATAAAAAGAGTCACATTAACATTATTTTGGGACATCACAAAGATGTCTCTTAGATATTAACTTGAGATGTGATAAAAGGCGGACATTTGGATATTCCCGTGATATCACACTGATGTAATTTGAATATCTCAAGATATCTCTGGGATATGGGATATCCTTTAACAGATATCACACTGATATCACTGTGATGTCGCTGTGCTATGTGGGGCGTTATATTAATAATATATATATTAATAAATATTAATATAAATC